CATCATAGTTACTGACATGGAACCAGCCACAAAAGAGATTCTGCCTTGTTCAGGTGCCTCCTGAGCTCATTGACATAGGTTGGGAGAGTGCTTCCTTTGGATTAGGAAAGATGAGTTTCACCTGTGGCACACTGTCTTGGTGAGCCTCAGTATGACAGACATATCAGCTCTCCTTGAACAAAAAAGCCAGTGGAACTCTTGTAAAGCAGGGCCCAGTTCCCACTGTGGAGTTATCAGCAGTCTCTGAACCCTGTTTTTAAGGGATAGCATGGGGGAAGTTTGCAAAGGAAATCATATGTTATTGTCAGGGAGTCTGGTAGAATCTTTAAAGTTTAGTTGAAGAGTGGCTAGAAGTAAAAGATCGCAAGTGTCCCAGAAGTACCCTGTTGTGTCAGGGAGAGTGGCAAGGGGAGGCTCTGGTTCACAGAATTCTGATCTTGGCTCATAGGTGAACCATCCAACAAGCATTTGAGTCTTAGGTTACTTACTATCTTCTATCTTAGACTTCAGGTGATTAAGTTACATCCTGGGGATTATGGATACTAGAACTAAACATTGAGGCCCTAAGCAATGGGGGCTGGCATCCACAACTGGTGTTTAGGAGTATGGGAAGGATTTTCTACTTATTTAGTATAGGGTTTTCTCAGTTCTTTTTCTCCTTTCTCTCCTCTTCTGATCTCCAGCAAAAGCTGGGAAGAACTTAAGAGTATTTTGGTTCTAGGTCATTGCCCTAGGTTCTAGGTGGATCCCAGCAAAAGACTCAGTGGGTGAACTGGCGCAGCGCCTGACAGAACAGTATTACTCCCTTTGAGGAGAAATAGTTCAGCAAGACAGTGCCATCAGGAAGGAAGCTCACTTAACTCCATGGAAGCAACAGCACATATCCGAAGCCAGACTTGCTCTTTGGTCATGCACTTTGGGATATGGGGTATAAGATGCAGCCCTGAAAAAAACACCAACAGAGGTCGCAGTCTCTGGGCCCAGTTGCCCCACAGCCCAAAGGAGGAGCTGAATCTAGTTCAACATAGCACAAACCCCTAGGAAAAATGAAATTTAACATCAACAATGTATAATCCAGTAAAAATCTCCCTCTTTATGGTGTGTGTGTGTGGGTGTGCGCGCGCGCGCCCATTTACGTGTGTATGTCTTTGTGCAGCTCACTACCAGCAGCCTCACTGAGCACTGGGTCTTACAGTGCTCGCTGAGAACTCACCAGGTTGGCGCCTGAATGCCTTACTCTCAGCACTCAGAGGCTGGCTTGTTCTCTGCAGATTTTTAATTTTCTTTTTTGGCCCTAAGCAGATTAGGACCTCTACAGCTTCATTCTATCATCATTAAATAGTGGCCTTTTTCAGTATTTTTTCCCTTTCCCTTTATAAATTGCCGAAGCCACAAAGCACATTTTGGGGGATCATAGAAGGTTGGCATTTCAGAAAGGCATCTGTACAATGGTTGCATTCACTATGGGATTTCCCTACTTGCTGTATTCTCAACTTCCAATAAAAAAACCCTGATGGAATATGAACTTTTGTTGTGTATTTTTTTACTTCCTCTGCTTACCTCTCCAAGGCTTACGTGAATTTTCAGAAACTTTCTAATCTTTACAAATCAAAGTGCTTATGCCCAACTCACTTTCTCCCACCTTTCTGACCAAGTCAAGAATGGAGGGGAGAGCTAACTCCAAGGGCCAGTTCTTTATTAGAGTTTATAAATATAATACCTAACATGATGAACATATGCAAAAAGGGATCTCTTAAAGGACTCTATACCTCATAATCATGACCACCACCCTATGAACTGATCAACTCCCTTTGGTGAGAAAACAGGCTTAGAAAGGCTAAGGCTGACTCTGTGCCAGCACTCTAAGAAGAAAATTCACCCTAAATTGTCTCATGTATATTGACTTAAAAGTTCTGGGGATTTTTAACCCCTCTGTAATTTAAGAAAGAAGAGGAATCCCAACCCTTTTGTCTTAGGTAAATTTAGTCTTTTGCAGGGGAATTTCCAGTATTGGGATAATAGCTCCACTCTGAGCTCTGATTTTTAAGTACAGGTAAAACTTAAGGGTTTGCCATATACTATCTGGGTGTCGAACAATGGATGGAATTCTGCTCTTGAAAAATAAGCTAGACCTACAAATAGCTCATTTGGTTTTTTCCTAGCTTTTTGCTACAAGCTTTCAGTGCCCACTTTCTCAGGTGCGGTTTGTGGATATTGGAAATAGGTAAGGACAAGTTTGAATTTTGACTTTATAAGAATGCTAGGGCTCTGGGTGGCCTAGAGAAGCCTGTGGACAGTGTTGCTTTAAAATTACCCCAGAATTAATTCCTCGTATCTAGAATATTTTGCTTCAGTTACAGTACATTCTGTATTTTCCTTCCCTCAGTGGGAATGAACTGTGGGCCACTACTCCCTGTGTCCTAATGTATTAACTTTTCCTGCCTTCAAATATTTGACTTAGTGAAACAAGGTTAGTCTGGCTATTGTAACTTTTGCTTGTGATGGCATGGAATGGACTCAGTGAACCCAGAAAAGCAGAGAATCCAGCTGCGTGACCACAAAAGCCTCTCGTTACTGTCCTCCATCCCTGCCTTGGCCACACTGACCTGGAAACGAGAGGTAGGTTCAGAGCCCAGTTCTTACATTTGCCAGAAGACAGGAAAGAAGTCGCTTATTTCCCTAGCCTGTTTTCTTTTGTTAAATGGGGCTTATAAAATAATCTTTGCATCTTCCTCCGAGATGTTTTTACTGATCAACATTTCTCAAATTTCTCATAGCGACTGGCTAGCATTTCTCCCCAACTCTTGCTCTGATTCCTCCCATTGTGGTCAGTGACTCCTTCCCTCATATTTACAATTCTGACTTTAAGATGTGTCCACTCTCTTGCCCTCCTGAACTGAAACTTCACTTAGTATTATGAAGTGACTGGTGAAGTATTTTACCTGAAAGCACAGCTATTAAAATACACAACATTATTAGGTGGATTTAGTAGTTATGTCCCTGTACTGAGGAAGGAGGATCTGATAGCAGTCTTGAGTTCTTGGTCATCCAAAGATGTGCAACATTTATAAGAAAACGGATTTCAAGATTTTGTACCCCAAACTCTTCTCATTTATTAAATGACTTTGGTTTTAACTTCGTTCCTCTGAAATCGAGGCTATGGCTCTTTAGCTTGACACAGGCTGCCACCTGCTGTCCTTTAGTGATTTTGTTAAAAGTAGAAAGAGGAAGAATAGCTCTGACTTTCTAAGGCAAAACTCACAAGAATAGTCTGTTCTCCAAGCTAGAGAGCAAGGCTAGTTTATCAGAAGTGGTCTTTGTTCCAATGGTTCCTAAAGGGATTTCCAGACCTTATAGTCCCCTCCTGGCCGTGCAGAGATATGGGAATGAAGCGGACAAAACGAGGCCAGCACTTCCTAAGCTTGGTTTTAAACTATATGGCTAAAATAGTTGATAAATTTACCTGAAAATGCTCTCCCTTGTTGGATGGTGAAGACGATCCTTTCAAAAGACAACACCAGATTGTTGTCCTAGAGAGATACCAGCAGTCGGTGTCTGGGAGGCAGTAGTTGAGATCAGATGCCGTTGGAGGCCTGAACACTTGTTAACGCCACAGAAAGGCGCATGAATGGCTGTGGCCCTTGCAGGGTGGGGCTGGAATCCTGGGGAGGGAGGGCTCCCTGCTGCTTACTCACCCACCTGTGCCAGATGCACACTTAACAACCTTTGCCTGCTGTTCCGTGCATCTAACCTGTAGTTTCTTGGTCCCCTCTTCCATGAAACAAGGTAATAATAATAGGCATATCATGTGACTATCACATTCAAACCTCACAATACTTTTCTAATAATTTGGAGTCAATTTTCAACTCTGTGCTTCAGTTTCTTAGTCTTTAACATGGGACTAATACCAGGGCCTGCTTCGGAGGGGCGTTGTGTTGAATGAGTTAATAGTGGTTACTTCCCTTGTACATGTAAACCCTACCTGTTCCTTCCACTCTGCCACTTAAACTGAGTGAGTGAACTTGAGTCTATCCCTTATTTTCTCTGAGGTTTGATTTCTTCAGCTGTAAACAGGCTGTTAATTCTTACCTCACAGGATTGTTGTGTGACTTAAATGGTAACGGAAATAACATTATGTAATCAATATACAGCATTTTACAAATGCGTGTGTTTGTGTCGAAACACGATAATGAATATTTTAGTGAGTTGGCCTACTCTAGAGAGAAGTGGGGCCAATTTCTGGTGGGAAACTTGTACTTTGAAGTGTGGAGGTCTGAGAAGAAGGTCCCTCAAGGCCCTGTGCGCTGTCTTTGCCTGTCATTTGGGGCTTGGCTAGACCTCCTCATTGGAGGTTGTTTAAACTGAAAGACCTGAGGCCATCCCAGATTTCTACCCAGTCCTGCCTTTAATGTTGCTCTCACAGTGCTGTCTCTCAGGAGCCAGATCTGAGGGGGAGAAAGGAGAAAACTCCAGGACCTCAAGACCCTGGAGGAGGTATATATGTGGACAGTGAGTTTCCAAACATAGCACCCTTCCTGGTGGCCTTTGCTTGGCAAATTGGAATGTTCCCAAAAGTTCTAACCCCAGGAACAGAGCCAGGTAGTCTCTTTTGTAGATCTGTGACCAGAAAAAGACTATCATGGGACCTGGACCTCCTAGGGATTCCAGAGTTAGCTCTCAGAAGACCCCTCACTATGCCGCTGTGAAGGGCTACTTTCCCTGGGGCTTCTCTGCTCGCTGAGCTATTCCTATCGCTTCCGCTGAGCTCATGTTACCTTCCAAAGCAACATCTGTATACCTCACCGTATTGGCTTTTTCTTAGATGCAAAATTTCCTTAGTTACGACTTCGCAAAAGTGTTTTTAGAAGTGTTTTAATAGCATTAATTTGCAGACATCACATGCAGCCATGGTGATGTAAAAGGATTCTGAACACAGGCTTGCGTGCCTGCCCCCCCCACCCCCCCGCCGCCCCCAACACACACAGTTAGAACTTTTTTGAGCAGCAGCAAGGAAATCGAGCTGCCTGGACCATGTGCCTCACTTTGAGGAAGCTATATTTCAAGCTTTGTCTCCTCTTCTCTTTGTCTCATTTTTGCTGTTGGTGCTGTTGGTCTCATTCTGCTCCTCTTTCTCAATACCTTTAAGACCTTGGGTTCTACTGAAGACCAACCAAATTCATTAGAAACGGCTGATGTTGTTTTCGTGGGTCTGGACTTCTGGAGAATAAATGGAACTAAATTCTTTTGTCTTGGTCCAAGTTGAGCTCATGTTAGACTCTCAAAGAGGAGATAGGAAGGATGGAAGAATGCTCATCAAGATGGGGGCTTCTCTGCTCGCTGAGCTATTCCTATCGCTTCCGCTGAGCTCATGTTACCTTCCAATGCAATATCTGTATACCTCACCGTATTGGCTTTTTCTTAGATGCAAAATTTCCTTAGTTACGGCTTCGCAAAAGTGTTTTTAGAAGTGTTTTAATAGCATTAATTTGCAGACATCACATGCAGCCATGGTGATGTAAAAGGATTCTGAACACACAGGCTTGTGCCTGCCCCCCCCACCCCCCCGCCGCCCCCAACACACACAGTTAGAACTTTTTTGAGCAGCAGCAAGGAAATCGAGCTGCCTGGACCATGTGCCTCACTTTGAGGAAGCTATATTTCAAGCTTTGTCTCCTCTTCTCTTTGTCTCATTTTTGCTGTTGGTCTCATTCTGCTCCTCTTTCTCAATACCTTTAAGACCTTGGGTTCTACTGAAGACCAACCAAATTCATTAGAAACGGCTGATGTTGTTTTCGTGGGTCTGGACTTCTGGAGAATAAATGGAACTAAATTCTTTTGTCTTGGTCCAAGTTGAGCTCATGTTAGACTCTCAAAGAGGAGATAGGAAGGATGGAAGAATGCCCATCAAGATGGGGTGGGTGGTACCAGCCATCCTGGAAGGTCTTTGGGAAGTGGTTTCTGGTTCCATCCAGCAACCTCAGGAGGCAGTGACCATTAGCTCAAGATTGAGATAGCACTGACCTGTGTGATAACCCAACTGTAGTGAAGTAGATCCCACATCAATTGCTGACTCTTTAAAATGTCTCTGGAAGGATCACCTCGTCAAAACAGAGGTCAGACTGGGTAGGTGTCACCGCAGCAGTTGGGTTGGTAGTGCCCAGGTACACAGAGGCAGCAGGAGGAGGGAGAGCGAGGCCGAGGTGTCCGAGGTGCCACCACAGTCCTGGGCATTCTCCTGCGAATCCAGAGCAGCGATGAAAGTGCGGCATTCAAGGTGAGGTAACCACTCCAGCCAGAGGAGGCAAGGAGTAGGGATGGGGTCTCTAGGACTAACAGGGGCCAAAAACCCGGGGAAAGAGAGGAGTTCCAGAAAGTAGAAGCATCGCCACCTTTCTTAGAATCCCTTTCTTTTAGGGGAAAGTAGAGGCTCTCACTTAGCCCAAGAGCAGGGCTCAAGACTTCTCAAGACTGGCTGCGGGGTCATCCTCCGAGAATGACTTCAAGGAAGCCATCAACTCTGGGAGCTTCTTTGATGTGGATTATCTGTGGCAGCCTTATTTATCTAGCAAAGATGATAATGTGCATAAAGCACCCAGCTTAGGGCCTGCCACATGGTGGGTGCTCAGTAAATGTTGGTCACCGTTAATATTATGCACATAATGGTTTCCTACCATTTGATCAGTCCATTCCAAGCTAAGTGCAGCGACAATGAGGACAATATAGGGAGGCTGTGTTTTAATTCACTGAGGGCCTAAACTCTGGGAAATGTGGCTCTCTTTGTAGAAGTCCCCTTGGGTCCTGGTTCACTTAGTATTTGAATGCACATATATGAATATATTTATGTGCAACTGCATTCCTGTGTCCAGATGCATATATCTGCAGGTACACAGGCATAGTCACAGAGCCGAGGTTTTAGGGGTGAAGATCAAGCCCCGCCCTTCACCCCCCAGCAACCCCCACCTCTGGATGGAAGGCATGGCAGGAGTCTGGTCGCCTGCGGAGCTTCTGGGAGCGCATCCTGTCACACTTGACAGAGGCGTTATGTGCAGGATTCACTGTTAAGGTGAACACCTCATGGCAGGAACTGATTCTTGGAGACTAAGTTCTGGAAAAGCGCAGGGGACCAACTGCCTTGCAAGTGGCTTCTGGGGTCAGGAGGTAGCACCCAGAGGCCTGGGGGAAGGGTTGGAGAACAGATAATTATGCTCTGTGTGGGGGTTTATGTTGGTGGTGAGGGAGGGTCCGAGCCCCTCAGTATTTCCTGCACCTCCACCCCTCCCTCATCCCATACATCCTGGAAGATTGAAAGGATATATTTGACTTCTGTAGCCTCCTGCAGGACTAGCGGGAAGATGCTACAGTCACAGGTGGGGTCTGTCACCAGGAGGAGAAGGTTACTATTGGGAATCTGTTGAATCACAAATATCCTGCAGCAAAGAGAAAAGTGGGGTCCTGGAAATCCATGGAAGGCTTGACATTGGGCTTCTAGGGAAAAAACTTTCTGGATTTCTAGTATGGAGTTGAGGTGGCAGGGTAAGAAATGGAACCATGAGACAGTTCAGAGCAGGGCAGCCACAGGAAGAGTCCTGGGCAACTGACTAAGTGCTATTGCTTTATCTTACCCACAAATCTTTGCAGTGGTACTGCACCTTTCCTAGAAGATTGGAGAAGGTGAGGCTGTCCAAGTCCAATTTGGGACATTTTTGAGAGTGAAGGAGTTGTTATTAATATGTGCGGTGACTTAGATATAACTTAGGACTGCGCCAAACAAATAGGGATGTGTGGCAATCCTTGTTTTGGGTGAGTGTGGCCATGGCAGACCATATAGGGAAGATGCAATGCTCAGTTTTGGCCACAAGGTGGCACAGTGCTCCTGCACACTGCCCAGGAGTCCTGCAGAGGGAGGGAGTAAAGGATTATGGAAAGCCTGTTACGCACAAGGCCTGGTACATTACATAATATTAGCTGCCATTTAGCATTTCCTCTGGGCTGGATGATTTTACACACACACACACACACACACACACTTATTTAACCTTCACCACACCATATAGGTTACTCCTGTTTTGTCGATGAGAAAACAGGCTAGAAGAGGCTAAGTAACTTGCCCAAGTTTAGACAGCTAGGAAGTAGCAGAGCCACTTTTTAAACTCAAGTCTGTCTACTCTAAAGCCTTGGCTTTGCACCATCCTTACAAGATTTTGAGCTAGGTGCACAGACAACAATAGTTCCAGGAAAACCTCTGTGTTAAGATTAAAGCCGCCCAACGTTACACACTAGTCAGGGATGGGAGCTTGGCTCTGCCTGATGCCAGCGTCTAAGGTGTTTCACTATAAAATAATTTGCTTGATGTCTGGGGTCTCTTGGGGATATCCTGGGAAGCCCCTGCTAAAAGCAAGGCTGGCTAAGGGGACACTCTAGAGAAGGCCATTGCCTACTGGCCCAGGACAGAGCTTCCTGGGTGGTGAGTTCCTCGAGGTCAGAGTTGGGAGTCAGCAAGAGAGTATTTTCATTCAGGCCTCCCTGCCTTCCTGAGCCGGGGCTTGGCACAGCTGGCTGGATCAAGCTGTATCTAGGTGGGAGAAGATCTGAGCATAGGCTGAGCCCACGTACAGCTCCCGGCCTAGGAATGGAGTTGCCAGATGAGGTTCAACAATGCTATGAACCCTCCTCCAGCCCACTCATTCCCGAGAACCTCCTTAAGCTTTCCCGTTTCTCTGCATACACAGATTTCTAAGAGAGAGCTGACTCGTTTCTTTCCTCAAATCTACCCTTGCCTCCCAAGGTCTCAACAATGGACTTGAGCTCATATAGCCCTGACCCTGAGTGAGACAGATAATAAATAGTGGGATCATTTTTTTTTTTTTTTTTTTGGTTTGGAATGGCTTTGGGGCCTGGAGTGGGGGTGGACTTGCTGATATAGGATCTGGCCTCAGGACCTCCTTTCCCTAGTCCCCCTAACACAGCATACCAGACTGTCCCCTGTCCCCAAGTGGCCTCCTCCCTCATACCGTCTGCCTCAGCCTGTTTCCTTCACTAAGGAAAGTGGGAAACAAAGGTCTCTGGAGCGTGACCTTTCACTCAGATCGCCCCTCCTTTCTTCCCACTTTAGAGATGACCCCTTGTGGGTGACCAAGCCCTGCCCCTAGGCTGGGGACAGGTAAAGCTGACTCGGCTCTTACTTCTGGCAGGCCCCGCACTCTAGGATCCCGTTGGCCTCCTGGATGGCCCTCTGGTGCACGAACACAGGGTACTCCGTGTCGCAGGGCTGCAGCGTGTCCTGTTTCTTGTGTTTGTGGGCTGCGGGGAGACAGAGGCGTGGGAGGGAGAAAGGCCTTAGAAGTCCTGCCTGCGGGGATCTCGGCTTCAACATTTCCAGGGCAGATATGGCCACTACACCCCCTAGTCCATTTCCGGATGGCTCCCTTGTTAGAAAGCTCTCAGGACGCATGAAAGAGGGGTGAGGTGGGAGAAAAACAGAGAAGGGAAAGGGGTCGAATAAATGGAGCAGAGTGGATTGCAGTGGAAAGGGCAGAAGACTAGGCATCAGGGGCCTTATATGTCAGTTGTGTGTGATGGACACACTAGCTCCATGACCTTGAGAAAGCCACTTCCTCTCCTTGGAAGCCACTTCCTCTTCATTGTAAGCTGGTGTTGGGACAGAGGTGGAAATGTACTTATCATTAAGGCTCCTTTCAGCATTTCAGACCCCTCCAGGGTCTGAGAGGAAAGGAGAGGCAGTAAGAGAGCCGAGGTGTGGCTTAGGGGAGACTTTAGCACTTTAATCACATCACTCCTCCGATTCATTATGGACAAGTGACATTTTCTCAGGTCTAGCAAAGGTGCTCTACAAGTGCAGGTCCTGGATGAGCCCTGCTCTCCTGTCCCTGTGGCTGCTTAGAGAGCAGAGTGGCGATGGCCAGGGGCTGAGGGAGGCCTAAGCAGCCCCTAGCCTCTGGGGCTCCTCATTGCATGTCTGTGTGGTGCACTTGAATCCACTCAGAAAGGACTCGGCACAAAGAGAAGTGGAGGACCTGGGAGCCTGCCCCAAAGGATCCATGTTTGTTCCTGAGGTGAGCAAAATGCAAACAGGGCCAGTTCACAGGCTGAATGACATTATTTCTGTTTAAAATAGCAGTGCCATTTTGTTAAACAGTACTTCTATCTCTTCAAGGCACTTTCCATGCTATTCCTCTTATTTTCAGGGCCTGTCTGTGAACTAGGCGGAGCAGGCAATAGTCTCCCGTTTTTTGTAGGTGTGATCTTTTGCAGGGTCACACAATGGTCGGTAGGGGAGCTATGGGTCTCCTTAACTCCCAGACCCAGAAAATTCCCACCGGATCTTGATGGCAAGAGGAGATGCCAGGCTGCACACAGGGAAGTCCCAGCTGAGTGGAAGAACCTCAGTGTTCAGCTGGCAGTCCGCACATGTGGTCAGGTTTTGGCCACAGTCACACTGATCTTCAAGGGCTGCCACTGGGTGGCCCTGCTCTCCAGGCCCCTCGCAGAGCACGAGTGGGCACTCTGACTAAAGCCTGCAAAGGCTCGCAACCTGGCTCCTCACCTTCCGGGCCCAGTTACACAGGCCTCGTACCCAGTAGGGGCTGGCCAAGGGCTGGCCTGTCTACCCCATCAGCTGAGTTACTTTGTGTGGGTAGGCCATCTCAGTGATGACAAGAGTAACCATGCCAGCAACGGTAGGGTGAGTGGCTTCCCCAGGGTCGCACAGCTGGGGAGGGGCAGCAGGGCCTGCACTCAGTCCAGGCCTTTGGACTCCAAGCCTAGTGCTCTTTCACTGAGGACATGGCTGACTGGCTGGATCGGGTAGGGGTGGAGCTCCAGGGACAGCTGTCCTGAAGATGAGAAATTCTCAACGAGTGAAGTGAGGACGATCGCTCTCAGCTTTTTCAGGACGAAGCTGCTTGCAGAGAAAGACAGAGAGGAGGAGGGACCTGTTTCTACATGAGTGGTGACACATGGTTCCTGGTTCTCGTCACAAACACCAAGTGACTATGAACTGCCCCAGAGCGGTCCTGTGAAGACTGTGGGGTGTGATTTCCAAAAGGAGTTTGGAAACATGGCAGGAAATTGGCCACGTGAGCCGAGGGTCAAGGACGCCTACAGTAGAGGCAGAGGGAGGGAGTGAAGCACAGTCAGAGAGATGACACAGTGGAAATTATTTTTTCATCAGGAAGCCAAACTCTGTGAAAAAGCAGAGTTGGGGAGTACAGCCTAGGCAGTGGAGCCGTGGCAGAACCCCACAGAAGAGGCTCTATCGGCATGGAGGGGTTGAGCAAAGCCAGCTAAGGAGAGATGGTCCTGTGCGGTAGGGGAGCCTCGGGCCACCAGGGAGTGGAAGTGATGATGTCCCTTTGCATTTTAAGATAAGGCAGCCTCGCTCTCCTTGGGGTGTGGTCCAGAGTCACAGCTGGCTCTGACAGTGAGGACATTTCTTTGATTTGTGGTCAGGGCTTTGAGGAACACTGTCCTCAGATAGAAGGTCATGGGACATATATTATCCCGAGAGTGTCCCAGTGATCAGACGAGGCCCCTGCCTGCCACCCCTTCAACCTGAGCACTGCTGAGGACGCAGGGGACGCCTGAGCTGAAGGCACCACTGTTTGTGCTTCACAGGGTGACCTGATGGCCACTCACTTGCCTGTGGTCATAGCCACTGGACCACATGACCTCTTAGACTTATAAATATTCTCACCCACGGAGATGGCTGGGGTGTTCCATCTTCCCTGGCGTAAGACTGTCCTTGTGTGGGATGAGGTCTGGACTATCTTCCCGCCCATAAGGAATGGGGCTTTAAATTGAGAGAGGCCCCCTGAGTCAGGGGTCCCTGGGGATGAAGACAGCTCAGCCCTCTTGGGTGCACCCCTTTAATGGAGAACTGAGGATGGGCCCTTTGCAACTCTGTGCTACCCTGTCCCATCCACCTGGTTCCATAGTGGGTGCTACTTACAGTGATGGAAGACAGACTTGGCTGCCCAGAACATGAGACACGGTGCAGGGTGGGCATAACGTCACATGAGGTCAGGACGTCACAGGGTGATGATGTCGCATGGAGCAGTGGTGTCCAGAGATGGTATGATGTCACACAGAGAGGTGAGGGGAGCCAGGAGTGAGGGGAAGGTGATGAGAGAAGGCCAAGCAGGATGAGATATGAACAATGAACTCTCCAGAGTTCCCATCCCCTCTGTCACCCACCTAGAGGTGATATGTTTCCCGTTAGCTGACAAATGGCACTGGTATCAAACACCTGGTTACAGTAGCACGTACTCACCCTCCGCCCCAGTGTCCGCATACTGGGAGCCCCAGGTGCTCCACTCCAGCAGGAACCTGTCGGACACAGAGCTGAATCTCGGAGGCCTGACAGCTGGAGCACCAGCACTCCCAGGTGGTCCCCGGTCCAGCCCCCATCCTCTGGGACACCTTCCTCCCTGCTTCAGGGCTCCCGGGTGGGCAGAGAGGTGCCCCTCCCTGGCAGCAGCATGAAGGAGGAGGCCTCATACACTCAGGGCCAGTTCCTCCCTGGGACCTTGCCCTCCTCCTCTGGGGTCCTGGGGACCTCAGACAGCTTGGCTCTAAGGGCTCCCTCAGAAGCCACACCTGTGTGAAGACCCCAGCCCCCAGCCTCAGCCCCCCACTCACAGCAAAAGCTCATTTGCCAGCCATCTGGTTGCAGTCAGGAGGGCAGAGATGGGCTGGGGACGAGAGGGGACACACGGTTAACCCCAGGCCCAAGACAGTGCCCCAATCAGCACCACCATTAGAGACCACGACCCTGGGATGCCCCTCCTGCTGCCACCACCCAACCCCTTCCCAGCAGGGGGAGCCCGGAAAGCTGATTTCTCCGAGAAACTCCTACTGCAGGCCAGACATCTCAGGTTCGACATGCCCGATCAGAGGCTTCATCCTGATGGGCCACCTGGCGATGGTCCTTCAAGAAGCCCAGGCTTCATCCTGATGGGCCACCTGGCGATGGTCCTAGAGCTCCTGACAGTCTGTGAGACCACACTAGGAGGTGAGGTTAGGAGCCAGAGGCCTTGTATTTCATGAGCTGCCAAAATAATTCCCTGAAGCCCCAAAGGTAAGCCTTTCAGGGCTGGGGTTGGGGCAGGCTGAGTGCAGAGATCAGGGGTGCAGGCGGAAGTGGGAGAGGACTTTTTGGTCAGTCTAAAGTGGGGCCCCGAGGCCAGATGCCCACGAATGAGTGAGACAAGGGACCAGGTGACCTCATTTTAGGGTAGGTGGAGGGCTTGCTGTCTGGCAGAGGAGAGGTTGAGGGTAACACTCACGCTGGCCAGGGGCCGGGCGGCGCTGTGATGCTGGTTCGGGGGTTTGCACATGGCCTGGTAGTCATACATGGTCACTCTGAAAACCGGAGACAGGATATGGCAAGTCCAGCCCAATCCCTGCTCCTTCCCCATCCTGTCACCGTCCCTGTCCTGTCCCTGTCCCATCCCCATCCTGTCCCCATCCCCTGCCCCAGAGGAGTCTGCTGCAGGGTTTTCATTCTCTGAGATTCCTGACAGGTGCATATGTTAAGATGAGAAGATCAGAAGACAGCACATGCCAAAAGTTACATTTCTGTACTTTGCTTTAAAGAAAAGGAATAGCAAATTTGGGTTTCCTTCTAAGGCCCCACACGAACTAAAAAAAAACCCCCCCCCCCGCATCCCTGTCAAACCTCTAGCTTCAGAAAGATTGCTTTTGGAGCTCTTTGGGGCTCTCACTATAAGTTTTTGAGGTCAGGATTCCAAGATCTGGCTGGACCATTTAGCATCAGAACCCGCCTTTTCTGCGTGTATTCAGACTGGGAAGAAGCATGTCCCACTTACTGGCTGAACACTCCCGTGCTGAGCAGCTGGGTCATAAGGGCACCATCCACCTCCCCTAGGAATCTTCCCACCTGCGAAGGTGAGAGAGAGGGAAACAGAGAGAGAAGGGTGAGGACTTCTAAACCACCTGCCTTGGCCCAGGGCTTATTTCTGAGCTCCAGTCTTTACCGCCAGTTGGGTTTTCCCTGCAAATGCTCTTCAACATAATCAAAACAGGATTTATTCCCCCTCCCCGCTTTAACCCGATCCCCCGCCATATTCTCATTTCAGTGCTTTTTAAGCTCTAAGTTATAATCCATTAGCTGGCTATGAAATCAATCTGGGGTTACAATCACATTTTTTAAAAAAAGGTACAGAACTCCTTTGAACACTTGCAGTGTGAATCGCTCACAGTAAGGTTAAACAAAGCTTTGCGAAATTTAATGGTATATATGTTGTGTGTGTGTGCGCGCGCGCATGCTGGGTCAGATATAAAATGTATTTCTTTCTGTGTCTCACACTGGCACCCCTATCACCCGGCTCAATAGGTGTGAGAACTCGGGAGCTGTCTTTGATTTCCCCTCCCTCAGCTCCCTTCCATCCTCCCACCAGCGCTGGCTTCTCTCTTTTCCAATTAATCAGTGTTTACTGTGGATCTGTCATTCACCATCCCGACTCCACGGATAGCAACTTCACATACGCCCTCGTCCCCTCTGCAGTCCACTTGGCCCTCGTAACTGAGTTCTCTCCCCGTCCCCCGTCACTGTCACCACTGCTGGAAAACCTTTCTCACACACAGCTGGGATTTGGGCACTCTCTTTTTTGTTTCCTAGAACGGGACCCCTGCACCCTCTTCCTCTGTCTCTCCTTCATTACCCATCAACCAACACTAGGTGAGCACCTGACTGTGTCCGGGGTACCCTCCAGTCAACAAGGTCCCTTGGTCAGCTCACCCTCATGCCTGCTCTGCGGCCTCAGACTGCCCTCCAGCCTCACTCCTGCACTGCCCTCCCACTCGCCCTGCCTCTTGCTCTTGCTGGTCCAATGGAAGAGCTTGGACCTAGGTGTTGGATTTCGATCCAAATTCTGGGTCTGCCACTGTCTGCTGTGTGACCACAGCAGGTTGTTAGAAAGGTTGGGGCTAATTTTTGCCAAGTGTCTGGCCCACAGTAAATGCTGGGTGAGTGGTGGCCAGTGTGACAAAAAGACACTAGGCCTGGCTCTTCTTCTTGCCTTAATTACCCTTCCTCGTTCCTCACTCCAAGGAGTCTTTCTTTCCTTGCCTTCCAGTCAGAACTAATGCCTCCTTCCTCTGTACTCAGAAACTGACAGGTTAATGACAAAACCACACAGGAGAAAAACGAGAGTTGAGAACATGAGGTCTTCAGACTTATCTGAGCTCTGCCGTCTCTGTGCCTGGAAGGCCTGTGTGTTCCGACAGGGAGGGCTGAGCGGCTTCTTCGCAGAGAGCAGGGGACAGGAGGGGACAGCAGGGAGAAGGTAAGGGCATTCCAGTGACAGAATGGCAGGCAGGAAGGTGAGAGGCCGCCAACCCTCTCTGTTCCTCAAAGCACAGCCTTGAAAGCTCTGGAGTTCCTCTAGTTCGAGGGGTCCCTCTCAGCTGCTTTTTGCTCTTCCAGATATTGTGTGTGTGTGTTCCTGCATTACCATACAGCAGGATCCTACTGGGCAGGAATCCACCTCCCGGCTCCCCACCGACCACACAGTATCTTGTTCACGGTTATTACTCAGTGCATGTCTGAGTGACTCAGGATGTCTCAGGATTACTCAGGATGTCTGAGTGAACAGGCAGAGAATGTGCAGGGAGGTGGAATTGAGGCTCCCTTATGAGGCTGGCCCCAATTCCCATATGCCTGCCCCATTCTCCTCCCTCACTCTAGCCTTATTCACCAAAAACCCTGTTGGCTCGGGCACTTGATTCTGAGAAACGAGGTCCCCGAGAGTAAGACAGGATCCTGGACACTGGGAAAAAATGTATCCACCTCTGTAAAGAGGCAACTTAATTTTTAGGATATGTTGCTCTGGTAGAGAATATCTATCCTCCCCTTCTTTAGTCCCACAATCCCAACTTTAATTATGGTAGCAAGACGCTCAACTAAAAGACTACATTTCTCAGACTCTCCTGCGGCTGGAGCTAGCCAATGAAATGTGAACAAAGTCACAGGATGGACTTCCGGGAATCTGTTTAAAGGGAGATGACTCTGCAGGAGGTGCACTTTGTTCTTGGCTGTTGCCTGTCCCCTTTTTCTCCTCTGGAAAGTGGACAAGAAGGCAGGAGCTCCTAAAGCCATTTTGTGATCTTGAGGATGGGGACACCTGGTGACCATACTATACCAGGCCTGGGCTGCCTTCATCCAATTAAAGAAAATAAACCTTTCATTTGTTTAAGTCACTGTGGTGGGGATTCTATTCCTGACAGGAGTACGCAATTCCTAGCTGATATAATTTTATTTGAACTTAGAGTAAATCGGTGCCTCAAATAGGTAAATTGGTCGAATTTCCTGAAACTGCAAAGCCAAGGTCCAAACAGTCAACCTTGGGTACCCTGTCAATTTAGGCCCCCCAGAATGAACGTGGAGGGGCAGCCAGAGCACATCACAGGAGGGAGACTACAGTCTCCTTACAGCCATAGCACTGTAAAACAGCTCTGGGAACCCCAGGCTCCTGTGCCAGGAGCTCTATCTGCCGACGAGGTTTGCTCACACCGGGGTAGGGCTCTGCTTTCATCTGGGATGACCCCACACAAGCAATGGTCCCTTGGGCTGCCGAGCTCTGGGGCTGGAGCAAAGGGCCTGGGGCTTCCTGAATTTCCAGTCTGGAATGAGGTCTTGTGAGGTACCACCCAGGAGCCTGGAGCAGGAAGCAGATGGGCAGGTGGCAGCCAATAAAGCAGAACTAACGAGTGTCCTGCTGGCCGGCAGCAGTCCCTGGTCATAAGCTAATTTGCATGCCTGCGTGAGGCTGCTGTCCCTAGGGAGAAGGGGGACCGGAGAATGAGCTGAGGCAAAGATTCACTCTGGTGTCTGTATGGAGCAAATGTCACATGGTTTCCTTACCTAGGAATAGCCTCAGTTTCTTCTTCTCTAAAAACGGGATAATTCATCGTCTTAAGGAGTGTGAGAATTAAATGAGTTACCAGCGTGAAATCACTGCGCCTGGCTCCAAGTGAGGACCAGACCTTTCCCTCCTTCCTGCTGTACAGCCTCACCTGGCTCCCCTGAACTGCCCAGTCTCCTGACAAGCACCTTTGACCCCACAGTGGGGCAAGGAAGAGTGTGGAGGAGTGGGCACCAGCTCCACACCCCTGGAGAGCCTCTGCCACCATCGGCCATCTTGGGGTTCAAGTGATCCGCTGAATTTCACTTAAGAGACACCCAGGCTGAGCTGCCCAAATGAGGCTGCCTTGGCCCCAGGAAAGTAGAATGTGGGAGAGCCCAGAGACATGGCGAGGCAGGTGGTGAGGAGGGGGGCTGGAGGGGCAAGTTCACGAGCACATGCAGGGCAGGGAGGCCAGCATTTCTCCTGCACCCGCCTCACCCACTGCACTGGGAGTGACTCAAAGACAGCCTGCCATGCCATGTGAGCAGGGAGGACAAAGGACTTGGACAGGCAAGGAAGGAGAAGGAGAGCCAAAGAAAACAGAGCTGAGGCCCAGGAAGGGCGCATCAGGGGCCCTGAGAGGGCGGAAAGGGTCACCCTGGTCTGAAGGCCTTGCAGGACCTGGCTCTGTGCGCTGAGGGTGAGGAGGGAGGAGGTAATATGCCTTCTGAGATTTAAGCCTGTAGGGAGAGACACCACAATGGGGTATCTGATTTTGCAGTTCTGCTGCCCCTTCAAGGTCCATTTTGAAGCTCCTGTGTGTGGGTGCTTCCCACAGGCAAATGGAAGGACTCAGAGTCCTCAAATCCAGGGTGATAGATCCACTGTAAACACTACAAAAATCCACGGAGCTGTTGTCTCTCTCTTGGTCCCAGCTGTCTACTCTCTTTCTAGGCCCCAAATACAGGGCCGTAATCCTGTCATTTGTAGTTCTTTATTATAGGAATGAGCCCTGAGCTGAAAGGCCCAGTGAGGCCAAATGTCTAATCAGCAGGCCTGGAACACTACCAGGACCAGGAGACAGCCAAGCAGCCCTCCCTCAGGCGGGCTGCAGATGGTGCTCTGAGGCTTCTGCATGCATACTGTTTGCTGGGTAGGAAGGCCTCTGTGAGGAAGGGCTGGGGAGGACTTGTCTGGGAAGAATCTTTGCATCTAGAAGAGTGGCAGGCTTCTCTGCTCAAGCCCCCAGGTGCACCTTGGCAAGGAGAAGTAGTAGCCTGACCTTTTGGCACATTAGCCCAGTCTGTAAAGTACATCCAAATCAACTGCAACAGGCATTGAGGCCTAGGCACTGGTTCTCACACTTTACACACCAGAATCACGAGAGGGCTTGCCACAGCACAGATGGTGGGCCACCCCAGAGTTTCTGATTCCCTCGGTCTGGGGCTGGGCCTGGGAACATGCATTTCTGTCAAGCTACCAAATGCTGCTGATGTTGCTGGTCCCCCCACCACACTTTGAAGCCCGGGGATAGAAGAGGGAGGGGGAGGAATGAATTGGGAGAGGGCCCAAGACATGTGGCAGTTGGTGGTGCTTAGGTGTGTATAGGGTGGGGCAGGTTTGGATGGGTGGGTGGGTGTGTGGTGGGACAATTCTGAAATGCTTTAACAATGGCTCCAGCCTCTTGACAGTCATACTCTTGTGTGAGCCTGTCTCCTGAGTGCAGGCTGGATCTAGTAACTTGCTTCTAGTGAATGGAATATGGTAAAAGTGACCAGATGTCACTTCTGAAATTAGGTTCTCAAGACTGTGACTTCCCTCTTGCTGTCCTCTCTCTGCTCGTCTTCGCACACTTGCTCTGATGAAGCCAGCTGCCATGTTGAGGGCTGCCCTCTGGAGAGGCCTGCCCAGCTAGCAACTGAATCCTGCCAGTGACCATGGGAATGAGCTTGAGAGCTCAGCTTCCTCTAGTAGAGACTTGAAATGACTTGAATGGAGCAGCTCTGGCTGACGCCTTTTGCCGCCCTGTTACAGGCCTCTCCCCGCTAAGCCACACCCAGATTCCTTACCCCCCCAAAACTGGGAGATAGCAAGTCTTGTGGTTTTAAGCCATTAAATTTAGGGTAATTTGTTATGCAGCAATAGATACTGCTACGGAATTATTGAATGAATTATTTGGGGGGACAAAATCAAATGTAAGTGGATGAGTAGCCTGACCTGGATGGCTGCCAGGTGCTGCTTATATCATTGGTGTCTCTGGCCTGGGTGTAGCTCACCTAGTGCCCTCTCATAACCTAACACGCTCAGGCCACAGGGTCAGAGTTGTCCAGAATGAGGGAAGAAAACCTTGTCAAGATGCAGCTGTTCCCAGAGTCTTGACACTAGCCTTGGAGCTTGACCCAGGGGTCTGGACTCCTGGGCTGCGGTGTTCGGGGTCCTACAGGCACCGGTCCTAATTCTATAAGACTCGGGCCAGAGCAGCACGGTGAGCAAACTCTGCCCCGAACACGAGCAGGGAGACCTGGGGCAGCAGTTCAGGTTGGGCCGGATGATGACTACCCAGGCGACCCGGACTTGCAGCCTGCCACATCTCCCTAGGGTCACCCACCTGCCCAACAAATTCTCGATTTCTGTCAGAACCCACGCTCTCTCAGTTTGGCTTTCCTCTCCAGAGGTCTTTTCTAGAAACTCTCTCCCCCTCACATCATTGCTCTTTACTTGTAAATCTGGCTTTTCTGTAGCTGTGAGTTTTAGGTTCAATAACTTAAACTTGCAGATCCTCAGTTTTTTCCTCTGGTATAAAATGAGACTAATAACATCACTAGAGATGATCAGGGGACTCACAGTGGGGGAGGGTGGAGGGGAAAGCAAAGGGCTGTGTTAGAGGCGAGGGTGACCAAGCATGGTAGGCATTTGGGGCTCTGAAGGAGCTTCTAAACGGTCCCGACCCTCTTAATGAACATCAGATTTCATTTCATTTACACCCTGCTTTATTTTACAAAGGATTTTAAAAACTATCGACAATGTTATAAGAATAGTTGAGAAAGCAGAGATAAATGAGCTAAGTAGACATCTACTTTATAAAATATAAATCTCTCAACAACTGTTTGCTACCATATATTAACCAGAGTTGTACCCGGTGAGGTCATGATTTGTGAAGACATGTGAGCAGGTGTGCAATAGGACCAAAGTGAGTTATGCACAGGGCCCTTTGGGGGTGCCTGTCACTGGGCCTTACTCCCTGCAAGGTCGTCCTTCTACCTCTCAAGCAGGGGTCAGCAAATGATGGCCCATGGGCCAAATCTGGCCCTTGAGCTAAGAACGTGTTTCTATTTTCAAATGGTTGGAAAATATCAAAAGATTAGTAATATTTCATGATACATGAAAATTATGTGGAATTCAAATGTCAGTATCCATAATTCAATTTTATTGGGACAAAGCCATGCTCATTCATTTAGATACTGCCTGTAGCTGCTTCCGCACTACAACAGCGGAGTTGAGCAGTTGTGACAGAGACAGTCTGAACCCAGAAGCCTAAACATGCACTATCTGGCCCTATCGGAAACCGTTTGCTGACACCTACTCCAGAGCATGGCCTCTCAGACTTGGCTGTTCTCTCCCTGTGTCTTGCCGCTTTCTTTCCCAAGCGT